AGGTTAATATAAATAGATGAAAATACCTTTTAATTCACATATTTTTTTTATGTTATTAAAATAATTCAAAATTAAATGAACTTGTGAAACAAAATTGAAGCAAATTTTGTTCACATAAACAAGATCCCTAAACTTGGCCAATGTCTTGATTTTGATGTAGAGCGATTCAAAATAAATTTCAACGTTACATATTTGTTTGATTTCTTTCATATCATATTTTAATTATATAAAATCAGACCAATTTAATTTATCTTTCACATCATACTTTAATTATATTAAATCAGATCAAAATATTATAAAAAATGTTAGTATAGAGTTATGAATCTGCTTTTAGAAAACCTATTTCATTCATGTGATCATTGAAAGCCATTGACAATGAAGGATAACTTCATTCCGTCAATCTATTCATAGCTTAATTTCTTTGCGCACAAGTATAGTTAAATTGTAAGAGAAAATGAAAGCAAATCAAATTATGATCCAACTGACCAATAAACAAAGGGTTTTATAAGAGTTATGTTGTAGGAAAAGTGATTATGTAATATTATAGAGATTCGTTTTGCGTGCGTTAATTTTTTATTTATTTTTTTGTTTTAAAAAATGTGGGCCCCACAAAATGTTGTGAGTGTAGGAAAGTTTGTTATGTTATGTTATGTTAAAGGATAGAACGAAAACCCGTAAACAAAATAATCTTAATAAATATAAATAACTATTTATAAATTCATTCACGTGTAGTCGACTAAACCAGTTCAGGTTGATCGACTAAATCAGTGGTTTTGGCACCCCATTCTGTTTTCCACGAATTTTTTTTTGTATGGAACCGATTGTAGTCTAATGTACAAGCGTATTATGACTTGGGGAACACAATTTCAGGTACAAAAGAGTCAATACCCCATTCGTATGCATTGTTGGGTACGTATTGATTGAAACCGTTTGTTTACGCTCCCCGAAACTAGGTGAATTCATTTAGGGGTCATAATAATAATTGTTATGAGTTTCAATCTATCAATATGGACCAATGTTACTAATTTGAATAGGCATGAAAAGTCAAATAACATAATGAGTTATACAGTAACACAACGTCACATAAAAATTCATAACAGAATTACGTGAACTCTACCATAAGACCTTAAATACATGCACATGATTGGTTCAACTTTGTCTAATCCTCATAGGACATGTACGTTTATTGTGACCAATTTGCTTGCAGATGCTACATCTACTTTCACTGCTTGAGGGTTGTGACTCAACCCAATCCATCTTATTCTGTATCCTTGAAGACTTCGGTCTCCCTTGTGCACGAACCAAAGATGTATTTGGGATAATAGTTGGACCATGTATTTGTGGAATCAACAACTCATTACCCATTGGAAACCAATGTGCAGCATAGACCTTCTCAATTTGTGTAATTGAGAACACAGGATCGACATAGTCATAGTGGTTCAATTTTTCAACCTTGCACACCGCTAGCACATGACTGCAAGGAAATCGTCTAGCTGTGAACCATCCACATTGACATTTACGATTTAGCAAGTCAACCCTCATAATGTCGCCGTCATTATGCGTAGATTGATTGTAGGCATCCTCAACTTCATTTAACTGCAAGTCTCTATCAAAAACACGGACACAGAGACTAACAGTTAACTGATCATTCTTTTGTAAGAAGTCCTCAACCTTTTTTGCAATTCTCCAGCCTTTGTCCTTTGCTTTTTGGATCTTTTCACGCCTCTTGACAAAATACTCTACAAGTCTACTTTGCGTCATCTTGACCAATGTCGTTACTGGCAAATTACGTGCACCCCGTAGGACCTTATTGATACACTCAGATAGGTTAGTCGTCATATGACCAAACCTTCGGCCCTCCTCATCATAAGACATGCACTATTTCTCTTTGGGAATCTGATCTATCCATGAGGCTACTTGTGGGTTACTGTCGACAAATTCTTGAAATCTTAAATCAAAGTGAATTTTCGAACACATGTATCCTGCAAAAAATAAACCCAAATTGAATGAGTTATACATAAACAGCATTACATACAACATGTACACATTCATGAAAATAGCTTACCTAGTTTCATCAGCGTTTTCTTAAGTTCCACGTCCCTAAACTTAGTGTTAAAGTTGCTTCCAATGTGACGAAGACAAAACACATGATACGCAAATGGAGGCTGCCAACCGGCATGATCCTTCACAGCCCTGATGATGCTGGGTTGACGATCGGATATTAGACATATACCATGCCTATGTGTGACATGGAAACGCATCAGGCTAAGAAACCACAACCAATCATCCAATCTCTCACCCGGTGGAACAATGGCAAACACAATAGGCAGAATGTATCCATCACCATCCTGTGACGTAGCAATCAAGAGGGTACCTTTGTATTTCCCGTACAGGTGCGTGCCGTCAATTTGGATTATGGGTTTACAATATTTGAAAGCCTCAATGCACTGGTGAAAAGTCCAAAATACCCTGCGAAAGACAGCCTTATCGGTGTAGACACGTCGTTCGTCACAACACTCGTCCGTATCAATCTTGAACACAGAACCAGGATTAATCTGTGTCATGTAGGTCAGCCAACCAGGTAAGATGTCATATGATTTATCCCAGTCGCCAAACAACTTCACAATGGCCTTCATTTTAGCCTTCCATGCCTTCCTATAAGATATGTTGTATCCATACAAACGCTGTACCCTCTCCTGAATAAGAACTGGTTTCAGAGATGGATCTTCTTTTAACATACCTATACAAAAATCGAAGTCAACACAGTCAATAAATATACCGTAAAAGTAACGTAAACATAAACCTTAAACCAAACATCACATAATACATACTTATAACGGCTGCACAGATTACATCAGAATCCAGCTGTCTATGGTCCCGGGTAAGGCCTTGGTTTAGGCAGGTGTGTTCTTTAGCCCACTTACTAACAACCCAAGTATTTCCATTCTTGGGCAACATAGCCCGCACGTACCAGGGACAACCATCATTATGGTGTCGACACTTCATCACAAATCTATGGTCATCACTTTTTGCCACCACAGCATTACGATGAGACTTCATACAATATAATTTGACTGCATGTTGCATTTCAAATTTAGTTCGAAACTCCTGGTACAAATATAATGGATCCCCTAAATGCCAGCCACCGTGGAAGTCATCGTCGCCATACAATATCTCCGTCTCATCATTAGGGTGAGCCCAATTAATGAAGGAATAATGTGGGCTTTCGTTCCAAAACGGCTCAATATCGGAACCTACGTCCAAATTACAGGAGTTTTCCGTCAGTACGATTGATAACACAAATATGAAATATTCATTTAAAACTTTAATTTACTATCTTACCACTGCTAACAGGGTCAACACGGAGTGGTGACATCACCTGGGAACTCAAGTTTCCTGAACTAGTGTCAGCGTCAAAATTCCCCTCTACGTCCGTATCTGAGGTGTCACCCAGCGAAATAACACTCTCGGGTTCACCATCGTCTTCACTGTCCATATCCTCCTCATGCTCATCCTCATCCTCGACTATTTCCCTCAGTGTTATCTGACTTAAGACAGGTGCATGCGCAGATAAACCGACCACTCTGTCTTCTTGACTTTGACTTCTTTCATGCATAGGTGCAGATGAAGATTGCCCACAGTCTATTTCAACATATATCTCAATAAAGTTTTGAAATTTTCGGTCCACGATTGCATTTATGACACATTCCACATCTTCATCGTCACAAATATCATTACCAATGTAGAATATAGCATCCTTACCAATTGTAGACTCTACCCTGGCGATCATCCGTTGAACGCACTGGCTGCCTTGTAGCCCCAATTTTTGGTGAATCCTCCCCTTGAGCTCATTGTACGTAGTGCCCCGTTTGATTTTCAACATTTTCGTTTTCCTTCAAATTGAACACCGTTGGGGCCTTCATAATGCTTTCCATCATAGTAAATCATGGTAACATACATGTTTGGACTTGAGCTCATCTTTCACACGAATTTGGGGGTAGGAATCGGATTTTAGGGTTTTGGGTTCGGATTTGGGGAAAACAAATCAGAAAATAAGGGAAATGACAATGATTTCACAATTACTCTGTTTTAGAGATGGTGGGATGAAATGGAAGGGTGAATGGAAGGATCACAGCTGACAAACAAGAGAAAAAAGGGTTTTGATTTCGAAAATATTGCAAATGAGACCGAGAGAGGTCTGGATATAGGATTTTTCGCGATATTTAGTCGACTAAATAATGGCCTTAGTCGACTAAAAGTGCTCGACATTTAGTCGATCAAGGTGAATATTTAGTCGACTAAAATTCGTGTTTCTTGATTTCTGAATTTTGCCCATTTAGTCGATTAAAAATGCAACTTGATCGACTAAATGAGGACATGATGGTGGATAGTTCTGGGAGAGGGACAAATTGGTTATTAATTAATTAATGAGGAGCAAAATGGTCAAAAAGCCTAAAATTCAGCCTTAAGATCAAATGTAACAACTTGACATTTTGACAAATATACTAATACATCTTTTGCTCTATTTTCTAAACTGCTTTTGCTTTCGGGTCTTCTTCTCGAGTTGTCTCGTGGTAATTAAGTCCTTTATAAACCCGTTTGTAATCAAATTAATTTAAGAATCCATTTCACTTGCAAAATCCTTGCGCTTCACAATTGAGGATTTACAAAAAAATTATTTTCAATTTTACAACGACAGAGTTCCAAACGGTTCACAACGTTTACGAATTACGATTAAGGAGCAACAAGTTGGCATAAACCATTCCATATTCTTAGATATTCTTCACTACCTAATAAAAGTGATGCAATTACAGCAAAAACAACCCCAGACAACTGAATGTAACAACAACAATGAATCCAACACCCTTTAGTCCCACGGTTCAATTTTACTGGTTGAGTTAACTTTTATGGGTAATCACAACCTAATTAATCCATCTCTTGGAATGTTAAAAAGCTTAATTATGATACCAAATGATGGTAGCTCAGTTGGTGCATGACAGTTGAGCAAGTGGGGGTGAGAACATGTGTTTGATCCTCCCCAGTACTATTTTTAAGAAGAATTTAAAGTCTTAATCCTGAACCTGTCCCGAACTGGATCGCCTCCTGTGAAAGATAAATGTGGTTTATCCAAAAAAAATAATTAATTATGACAAAATCTAACATACCACAACTCTCCCAATGAATATACTTCGCAGATTAATGTACACACCTGAAAAATCAAATCTTGAATGAGCCAATCTTCATATTTGCAAGAGTAACAATCTATTCATATATCATTGAATGAGGCTGTTGTTGTGTGGGGCTGACACTCCCACCGCGGCTAATCTTCAAAGCTGTTAAAGCCTTTTGGATCTCCATTGTCATGGCACTATCTACGCTTCCTGATGATAACTTTTTATGTGATTTCTGAAGATGTAGCTTAAGTGAGCTGCTGCTTAGTCCAGCATTCTTCCCACATATAGGGCAAATTTTCATCATTGGTTTCCGCTGCTGCCACTCCATTGAAACTTTCCCATGCAGTTTCTGATCAAGCTCCAGTAAGATCTTTGCAAAACCATCGTTGGGTTGTGCTCGCCGGTGAACTCGCTTCAGAGCATTCCATGCTTCTAATAAAGTGAAGTTCCTGCATCACAAAAGCTTTCAGTTCCAAAAGGTGTTACTAGCAGTTATACTCTTTAACTATCAAAGAACATAAAACTTATGATTACCAGTATTCTAATAATCTTAACCATGAAAATAATCGATAATTACACCAATAAATAGTTTGCTAACCAAAAAAACCTATATGATAATGTCATTAGTTATTAAGATTCCATTATTTAATTACAATTGCAACATTGATTGGTTCTGGAGGACTGGCTCCATTGGAGCACTAGTTTTTCAATTTTACCTAAGATTGTATTTATACTTTTACTTACTTCCTGAGCATCAAGTAAGCAAGGACCAAAGTGGCACTTCTGCTTCTCCCCTCAAAGCAATGAACTAAAACTCTCTGACCTGTTTGCTCAACATAACCTATAAAATCACAGGCTTCTTCAAATATGCTGCTGATGTTAGAATCTTCATTGTCACACACCTGTTTCAAATGGGAAAGTGAACAGAACCAATATGAAGACTTATTCCTGAGCACAACCTAATTGTAAGAGTATAATTGGTACCTCAATTAACAGAAAAGATTATTATAGATATGCACACGAACAAGCATAAATCATATCATATTGAATACAAATATATCACAGGATTAATTGAGAAAATAATAAGGCCAGTCTTAACTAGTAAATACTCTATCAGCCAAAGTAGATCAAATTTTAAAATTGATCAAATACTTTCCAAAAGGGAACAATAGAAAAGTCGGAAGAAAAAAAGGTAAGAATTGTATTTCAATTTGGCCATAGTATATTAATACATTATGTTATAATGCAGAAAAAACTTCAAACTGGATTAAGCTGTAGAGTACAAAAAGACCAAGCCTTTATCCCGTTAGGTAGGATTGACTAGACAAATCAATTGAAGCAGTTGGGCTTTATCAAAAACCAATTTTTCAGTAAAACCATTTATATTAAGGTTAAATTAGGGATAAAAAGAACCTAACAGATCAAGCATTTGGGATGATTGCTATGACATGAAATTAGAGCCTCTATGACTAATTGGTCAGAAGTTTGGTAGTTTCTATATCCATTCTTCACAATTAAATTAAATTTTAGCACAAGGTAGAATGAAAACCAATGCTTTGTCGACAATTGAAGCCCAAAAATCTTTCACGGAAGGGATGTGTGTTTGAGATAAAAACAATACATGAGCATGCATCTAAAAACTTGAAGTTTTGGATAACTGGTGCTGTAAAATAGTCACTGTAAACTCCAGAAGTAATCTAAAAAAAGAACAAAAGTTTAAGGCCCTAATCCAATCAAAAACTAGATTAATCCTGCCATGAAAATGCATGCATGATTAATAAAAAAGCAGAATCAGACTTCAAGCAGGAAGTCAACTGATTATCAGACAAATTAAATCTCTGCAAATAAGTCAATAGAATAATTGAGGTAAAAAACAGACATGATAATATGGCTTACAGAGAAATTTTTGTATGTGAATTGATCAGGAAACTGAGAATCTGACTGTCCAATTTCATTAGTACACAAACATAAAATATGAGTGATTCCCAAGTGTTGCAGTGTGTATACAGATCTTGCAGCCAGTGCACCACCAATGAATAGGCTATTTGTAACAGCAGAAGGTCTCTCTGTATTTGCAGCCTCAGATATCAATACAATCCTCTCAAGGATGTGCTCAAGTCTGACCTGAAAGTTAACGGAGTAAATGTTTTCTGCGAATATGTATTCCCCATACATGAAATTAGTCTAATATATTAGTTCTGCATACTGTTTTAAACTAATATACCTTCAGTTCATATGCATCAACAACAGTGTTGTTATCACTACCTTCAAAAAACCCTGTATTGAAATTGTTCTCCTGGCATAATTTGATAGCTTCATTTTTAAGCATTTCATTCCATTGTTCCAATTCTTTATTAGATTCTGTGTCAACCTGAAAATCATGAAAAAGAATAAGACAGGAGAAATAAATGGAACATGCGGTAAAAATGCTGTTTTACATGGCAAAGACACAGTTAGTTACAATGCTTCTATATCTTTATTTTTCAATCACCCCGAGATACAGGATTGTGTATGACATTTGCACATGCAGAACATATGGGAATGGAACTACCAGCAAATATTTCATTTGAAAACTCACATTTTCCAAAGTAATGGTGATTTTTGACCTTGTCTATGCTACACAGTGTAACCACATCAATTAGACAATAAGAAAGTAACATGAGCAAAAGGTCAGAGTAACATGTTTCTCCAAAATAAAATGACAGAAACTGATTCACCAAAATTCATGCTCACTCATAAAAGCAACAAGAGTACATCCTTGTCAGAGTCTTAAACATTGTACACATTAGTCAATTTTGAGTAAATATTTAATAGACTTGCAATAAAGTCATCTTAAATTGCACAATGAAGCAATATGCCACCGACTGATTATTTATGATCTATCCAAAAAATAAAATGGAAAAAATGCACCAAAACAACAACTTAGACAACTGTATCAGCAGAAACAAAACCATGTATTGGTAAGCAAGACAATGTCACCTAGAGACCAACCTTGGCATATTTATGGAAGTCACGGAGTTTAGCTGTCAAGCGCGGACCAAGAAGTGGCTCCCTGCTTCCTTTAGAGAACTTTCCATGCCAATTTTCTCTTGACACAGAAGCAGAGTCACAGCAATCTCTATTTCCTGAAGATGATGATGCTCTTGGAGCAGTTCTTTGTGACTCTGAATCACTAACATCTTGATGGTTATCATTTGAAAACCTCTCCTTACTTGTTGGAGAGGGACAACTACCAGTAGCAGCCAGTGAAGGTGAGTCAGGAACCACTGCATCCTCTTTTTCAGACTCCTCCAATGATATTTTACTCATAATATTCATAAATGATCGTAACAAGTTATCAAGTTTTTGGTGAAGTGTGAGTAGAAATATATGGAAACCCTGCAGATCCCTAAGAGCAGCACGGAAGCCACTACGGAACTCATGAACCACTGATGTTACATCACCTGCATGTAAACCGGTTGTTGTATTTATGTCTTCTGGGGGAGGACATCCTAATCTCCCTCCAGTTATATCATGTAACAGGTTAGAGGAAAACTCAGAGCTATTGAGTAGTAACTCAACCAACTTAGGATAATTAATCTGATCATTTGCACGTTTTCCAGCAGGGGGACGGCGAGGAACGCCAGAGTCAATAGCCACAATGTTAAAGTCAGTGAACATTGATTCTCCTGACATTCGACTTTTGAGGCTCATCTCAGTGGATATTGATGATTCCGTGATCTCTAAAAGATCAGATCCTTGTGATACCAATCCAGGATTATGAGAACTCAATCTGCTATCTACTGAAATTGACCTTCTTTCTTTTTGAAGTGGCTTAATCACCCTTGGTCCATATCGGTTCATTGCAGAATCAAAAGCTTCTCCCAGTGTATCTGTATTTGCAGAGATCATCTTTTCAGCCAATAACAAATTCGCAGAGTTCCCACGCCATCTAAGCTGATGGCAAGGGAGCCTATCTTCATTTCTGATGACAAGATCAAGTATCATTACCCTGCCAAGGGCTGCTGATGTTCTTTCTGCAGATTTCTGCAATTCAAATGCGCTAGAGCTTTCAAGCAAAGGTGAACCATGTACATAGCTGCGAGAAGATGATGAATCTTTAGAATAAACAATCAAAAGTTATTTTGCAGAAGAACAGCCATGTGCTTTTGCACCAAAAGTCAATAGATCCCATATTAGTTGCTTTCATTGTCTTTTCTGGGAAATAGTGATACTGGATTAGATTTAGCTACTTGCAATAAATAAAAGCAAGAACAAAAATGGCATAGTTTTCATACTACTCCAACTTCCGGTATATTGCACACCGTCACACATGGAGACGAGCACAAAAGGAAAAGTTAGTTATTTCTTGGTGATTGCCAGAAAAATTTGTTACTGTTATATTGAAATTTATATGAAAATACCATTCTTGGATGGCTGCTTTAACTCAAATATAAGATGATATGATTGCACACCATACTTGACATCACCACATCAAGCCCAAGCATGAACAGTTGAGCATAATTATTTCCAGCTAAAAAAAAAATCATCAATAGGTGGCAAAAGTAACAAGGCAAGCAAAGATATCTCATGCTGCCATATATAAACCTTGTCACATTAATGCTATATTTGAAGCATACCTCATAAACAAAAGACATCGGCTAAGCTCAAGTGCTTCCAAAAGTTCTAAACATGTCATTTCACCAGTTTCATCACCCTCAGAACTTGCTGCATCTCTCGCTTTTTCTGTAGCTTCCTTTATTTGGAGCCATTCCAAACTAGTATTGTGAATGACTCTAGCCTGCATGCATATTCCAAATAAAAGAAAAGAATGAATATGGTAGAATTGCAGCTCGATACCCTAAGCTTGCAAATGTGATGGTTGAATTAGATAAAAAGTAAGGGAACAACCTGCGGAGTCTGGACTCCCAACCACTTGGCAAATTCATAACCAAGGCGTTCAGATTGTGTTGACATTCTTGATGATGATATCTTTATAACAGCAGCTGCTTCTTTTGGAAAAGCATCATCACTCCCAAGGCCATTGAAAAAGGCAAAGAAGACAACCCCTCCAGAATTGACTGTTACCTGTGTGCACACAACTGAGAATAAACTAAGGCAGAAGTTAAGAAGATAAACAGTTTACAACAGTACAGCATTGATTTGAAAAATTGAACCCATCTACACAGGAAATGCTCGACACCCAGAAAGAATGAACTAACGATATAGGAGCTGATGCTACACAGAAGCACCTAGTGAAAATATATTTGGCAGAAGCTAAATCAGAGAGGAATTATTACTCTTTATAAAAACCAAAAAAACTAATGATCATCGACACGCTCAAATCAATATCACACCTTCTTTATCTGTATATCTAACTCTCTGGATCTTAAACACTAACTTGTTAGAACTTCAAAAGCCCTTAACATAAAACATTAAGTACAATATTTACGCTTGGAATTAATATAAAGAGTATAGAAAAACAATGAACCTCAAGAGCTCTGTTCATTTCATCCTCAGAATGTTCATTGCTGCTAGTGTGCTCAGTATGGTGAAGTGAAGAGAGTCTGTCCCAAGAAAAGGAACTCGATTCAATATCCAACATTTCAGCTTTACCAAGTCTCTCCCACAGACTAATTTCTGTTTGTTGGGGAACCTGATCAATTTGTGCATCCTCAGTAGATTCTCCGGTGCTGAACAGAAACTAAATCACCGTCAGCAACCACTTCAGAAAGCACACTAAATTCATAACAAAAATCTCTTTCAAAATGCCCCTTTTACCACTCCCCATCCAAAAGATACAAAAAATTAAACTTTACCATCCAACACACACATAACATGCTCAATGACAATTACGAAAATGAGGGAAAAACAAAAAAAATTGAAGTTAGACTAAAATAATGCAATTGCAATTAAATTGATGGAGAGAGAGAGAGAGAGAGAGAGAGAGAGAGAGGGTGTAGGAAACCTAAAAGACATGGTGGAAGGACGGTAGGGGAAGCCAGAGTAGCGATACTTGGAAGTGCGTTTACGAACTAAATGAAGCCATTGAGTGAACATAAACGTAGGCCCTGCTGTGATGTCTCTCAACATATACAAAACCTGCATTCACCAAACAAAGTTTCAAACTTTAATTGCTTTTCATGGCCTTGGCCCTGCAATTCCCACACCCACATGCAAATTTCATTATATACACAAACTACACACACTGGATGCATATAAAAAAGATCTCTTTTTTCTTTCTTTCTTTTATTTATTTATTTGTATAAACAAATGATAGTGAAAAGGAAAAACTGAGTTTTAGGGAGTAGAATTAAAAACCTGGTTTTGCTTTTGGCAAGTGTTGGTGGTGATTGCTGCAGGGTCCTGCTTTAGTTGCTCTTTTGCCATGCTATGTCGTATATAAAAAAAACATTTGGTTTTTTTAAGAATGCAAAAACTGCACAGAATGCCAGGCAAAGCAGTTTCCCTTTGTACTTTCCGGGTTTGAAGTGGGACAGGGATACATTCATTATCTTAGTTAAAGTGAACAATTTTATATCTTAAGGTAGAAAATTACCATTATCGTATCATCATATATAATTTTTTTAAACCTTAAAAAAATACTCAGAAGTACAACATACATTTTTATAATTTAATAAATATGAAGTTGATCTTATAAAGACTTAAAAAAATAAAATTTTGTGAATTAATAAACTCTTATTAATTTAATATTTAAATTAGTAAACTGGATATCTAATAATTACTATAAATACTCAGGTAACACAAATAAATTCAAAACACGAGAAAAACCTGACTGAACTTATTTAAAATTTGATTATATTAACCAATATTATTTAACCTAGACTAATCATTAACTCAGTAGGAATACTAGATTAATAGGTTACTAGTTTAATCAGTACATCATTGTCGAATTAGTTAAATTAAATTTATATACAAGTATTTAATAAGTATAATAATATGAGTATTGTGTCCAACAAAATACATTGCCTCAGTAAGTTCTCTCACTAAAGGGTCAAAGGTTTGATCCCTAGTAAGTGCAACTATTTCAATATTTTGCATAAAATTACAAAAATTTGTTTGAACTGAAAACTTTTGAGCGTTTCTATTGGGTCAAATGAACAAACGATCCTTCACTGCTCCTGTGATACTCTGCTTCAGCACTTGATCTAGCAACTACATTGTGGTTCTTACTTTTTCAGGAAACCAAGTTGCCTCCAATGAAGACACAATATCCAGTAATGGATCTCCTATCAGTAGGATAATCGGCCTAATCAGTATCAGAGTATCCGATAACTTTAACATGATCTTTATCTTCATATTCAAGGCCTTCTCCTGGAGATTTCTTGATATACTTAAAAATACGAATGACGGCATTCCAGTATTCTTGACATGGAGAATTAAGAAGCTGATTTACCACACTAATTGTAAATGAAATGTTAGGCCAAATGACTGTGAGGTAGTTCAGTTTTTAACCAATCTTCTATACATTTCAGAATCTAAAAAAGGCTCCCCCTAATTCGATAGAAGCTTGACATTTGGATCCATAGGGGTATCAACAGACTTAGAATTTAACAAAGCAGTCTTTTCAAGAATATCTAGAGCATATTTCCTCCGAGATATCACAATTTCATTAGATTGGGCCATCTCGATTCACAAGAAATATCGAAGTTTTCCAAGATCCCTAGTCTGAAAATGATGACATACATGTTGCTTCAACTGAGTAATCCCACAATTATCACTACCTATGATGACAATATCATCAACATACACCACCAAATAGATGGAGCCCGGAGTAGAATGACGATAAAATAGATCATGATAAGCCTCACTACGAGTTATACCAAATTATTGAACAACATTGCTAAATGTGCCAAACCAAGCTCGTGGAGATTGCTTGAGACCATATAGAGACTTATAGATACGACAAGCAAGACCTGACTCCCCCTGAGCAACAAACCTAGGAGGATGCTCTATATGAACTTCCTCCGGAAGATCACCATGAAGAATAACATCCTTAATATCAAGTTTATAGAGAGGTCAGTGGTGGATAGAAGCCATGACAATAAAGAGGTGAACAGAAGACATCTTCATCACAGGGGAAAAAGTGTCACTATAATCTAGTCCAAACACCTGAGTGAAACTCTTCTCCACCAAGTGGGCTTTAAGACGATCTACTTTACCATCAACACCAACCTTAACAACATAAATCTAGTAGCAGCCAACAACATATTTCCAAGATGGAAGAGGGACCAGATCCCATGTGCCATTGTGCTGAAGAGCACTCATTTCATGAATCATATCCTGTCTCCATCCATAATGTGAAAGTGCTTCACCTGTAGACTTAGGAGTCGTCACAGAAGACAAAGAAGAAAGACATGCAAAATATGATGGAGAAAGACGATGGTAACTAGTATTAATTGAATACCTGGTCGGAGGGTGGGTATCATAGGTACCTTTAAAAAGAACAATGAGAAGGTCAATACCCGAAGGTGGGACCGAAGCTGAGGGAGTAGATGCAGTTGGATGTGAACCCACAGAAATATCTAGAGAAATAGAAAGTGGGGAAACGAGTTGCAACTCATCAGGAGAAGAGGTGACCAAAGAAGAGTCAAACACAGGGACCGAGAAAGGCGAAAGGTATAACATCTCGTATTTCGTAAATGTATTATTATATGTGAAAATATGGTTTAAAGGGTAGGATTAGTGAAAATCCTGAAATTAGGGTCAAATTGCATAAGAAGGGTGAAATGGTAATTTACCGAACACGTAACCCTAGGAAAGGAAATTTGAGTAGGCGGCCTCAAATGGGAAAAATAATACTGGAAATGGATTCGGAACGAAAATTGAGTGGATAGGCAAGTTTCTGCAAATTTGATAAATAGTGATTTTAGCGGTGTAAAATACTGCGATATAATTGTACCGATAAGCGCGAAAATATGATCAGTATTTCTAGAAAGTGAAAATATGACGTGAACGAGAAAAATACGTAGGTTATGAATTTGTGGGTTAAAATGGATGATTTAAGAAAGTTAAGTGACGTGTGGGTAGAGCCGGCAAAACGAGTTCGGCTCGGCGGCCCAACCTGCCCAACCCGCCAAACAGGGCGAGGCGGGCTGAGTTTTTAAACCCATCTCAAAAGCGGGGCGGGCTTATTTTTTGGCGGGTTGATGGCGGGCATAGGCGGGACAGTGTAAAATAGGCTCGGGCTGGCGAGCCAACCCGCTAAACGGGGCGGGGCGAGCTGAGTTTTTCAGCCCACTTTCAAAAGCGGGGCGGGGCAGGATGACTCATTTTTTTGCGAGTTGATGGCGGGGCGAGACGGGACAGGCCGCCCACTTTGCCACCTCTACGTGTGGGACCCACTTAAGTGATTTCAGTGACAAATAGACAAAGTGAGATACAAAAATCAAACTTTTCTCTATCCTCTTCTCCTTTTTCACGTCGAGCTCTTGGCCATGGAGGGGGTTTTGGTTCTTTGAATTTTCAACTCTTTTTCTAGTCATTTTTAGGAGAAACTCCCAACTACAAAGTTGTTCCCCTTGAGTTTGTGAGTGACTTTCATGTAGAGTGCATCTTGTGGGGATCATTGTGTGAGAAGAAATCCTCCAAAATCAACCACGAAAATTGTGAATTTTTGGGAGATTTTGGTGCTTTCTTGTGTTGATTGGTTAGTTGGAGATCATTCCCTTGGACCCTAGGAAGCTATTGGTGGTAAGTTTTCACACTCTAATTGAGTTTTCATTGAGATTATAAAATGGGGAGGGTTTTGATTATGTGTTGATGAGTTGTGGTAGTTAGGGGCTTTTAATGATGTTGTCCTTTGGAATTAAATGCTTAGAATGATCAATGATGCAATAAAAATTATGGTGATTTGTAAACTTGTAACTTAGTGAAAATTTGAGTGGAAGTTCAATACTTTGTGAAATTGATATGCTGGGTGATGTTGTGATTGAGTTGTGGAGCATTGGTATGAATAAATCATAGGATTATATGATGGGTATAAGTGTTGAATTGAATTAAAAATCTTGGAGTGTGATTCCTTGAAGAATTCGACCTATAGGGTATTTGGAGGAAAATGGTGTGAAAATGTGGTATGATCAATGGTTAATGCTTTGATGCATAAGATGATGGAATGGTGAGTTAGTTTGATGATTAAAAGTATAACACCTCGTAATTATAAATATGAATTTATATGTTAAAAAATGAATTTAAAGGGTAGGATTAGACAAAATACGAAAACTAAGGCCAAACTGTGTGAAAGGGGCAAAATGGTAATCTACCAAACACGTAACCCGATGCATGAAAAATTGAGTAGAAGACCTCAAATGATAAAAATAATGCCGGAAATGGATTCAGGACGAAAAATCGAGTGGATAGGCAAGTTTCGAAAATTTTGGGTGAATAGTATTTTTTCGGTGTAAAATACTACGGTAGAGCTGTACTGATAAGTGTGAAATTTTGATCAGTATTTTTAGGAATAAAAAATATGACGCGAACGAGAAAAATATGTAGGTTATGAATTTGTGGTTTAAATTAGGTGATTAATTAAAGTTAAATCGCGTGTGAGACCCACTTATGGTTTAAGTGACTTAAAAGTCACAATTACATGACATTCTCTCTCCATTCTCTTCTCCTCTCCTGTGGGTCTCTCATCCTCCATAGCCAAAACCTTGCCAAATTCATTTCTCTTGTAACTTCATCAAAACTACACCAAATCAAGTGATTATTGGCTTGAAATTTGTTGGAAACAACCTTCCTAATCCATTGGTAGTAGTATTAAGCCATGAAAACCACCACATCTTGAGAAAAACCCCATATTCAGCGTCGGTTTTGGAGGATTTTGGAGAATTTTGGGGGTCTTTGGGTTGAATCATTGCTTGGAGATCATCCCCTTGGATCCTGGGAAGCTCTTGGTGGTAAGGTTTCTCACCCACACTTGGTTTTGATGAGATCATAATATTGATGAGGGTTTTGAAGTTGTATGTTGAGTAATGATAGTTAGGAGCTTCAAATGATATGTCTCCTTTGTAATAAAATGCTTAGAATGACAAATGATGATGATTGATACAATAAAATTTATAGTGATGTGGGAATTTTAACTTAGGCAAATTTTGTGATGAGTTTTCAAGACTTTGTGAAATTGGTATGTGGTGTAATTGAATAATTGAATTATGGACCATTGGTATGAATTAATTATAAGATTTTATGACATGTGTGTGTTGAATTGGATTGAAAATCCTTTGGGATCCTAGAATGAAAAATTCGACCTATTGAGGTCATGGATGGTTAGATGATGTAAAAATGATATAGTTGATGTTATATGATCGTGATTAGTGTTTAAATGAATGGTAGGTTGGTTTGATGTAGTGAAATTGAAAGGAGGAATG